ACACACACACACACACACACACACACACACACACACACACACACACACACACACACACACACACACAAAAACACACCGTGGAAAATTTTCAAATTAAATTACAGGAAATGTATGATGTCATCTTGGGCTCGCATCGAACAAACACATCCTAACCTGCAAGTAAGGTCTGATTCAAAAGCAGCTTATGACAGGTTTCACTAAAGATGCTCACAACTGATGTTGACTGAACCCAAGAAAGTGGGTGAATCTTTAGAAAACACGTTCAGGTGACATTTAACCCAATATTCAAAATATTGCGCCTGAAAATAGTCCCCAGCATGCTCCCTGTGCAAGCAGGTGGTCACGTTGGTTCTGTTGACAGAAGTTAGCCTATTTTCAGGCGCTGCGTAATATCATTGCGCCTGCTGCACCCATGGTACGGCAGCAAAGTTCCTTGATTATTACGCCGGAATGAGAGTATAGTTCCTAGCCATATCGGCCTAGAAAATCGCAACTTTTCATTTTCCGTCGGTCTTAGTACACGATGTAACTACAGAAGAGTCAAGTTTTAAATAGGAAAAATATAGAAACTCTTTGGTCTTTTTTGAGAGAGATGCTAACGGTCTAATCAGATTCAATGATCTATGCTAAGCTACAGCTAAAAGTGCTACCGCTAGACCCGGAGATCGGCTGAATGGATTCGAACACGGTAAAACTCAACTGTTTAACTCTAGGGGAGTTGGAAAATGAGCCTATTTTCAAAAATAGTGGAGTGTTCCTTTAAGCCCATTCCCCCTGAAGTCTCAGTTATTTTGATGTATTCTAATTTACCTTCCATTATTATCAATGGTGATTCCCGTTAGATTTGTACCACTGTTGTACAGTAAAAAAATACTGTAATACTGCAACTGTACTTTTTCATTTAAAATAATTTAATTCTGCATTACAATAATGAGAGTTGAGAGGGAAATGTCCAAAAAATAATAAGAAAAATATTAACAAGGCTTTTAGGACAACTTCAGCAAAATTTTGGGATGAAATATGACCTGGAAATTCTTTTTTGGAATTCTTTTCTTTTTTTTAATTCACCCAAGCAGATATGATCATCTTCCGAGGATAACTTATCTTTTCCCATTATCTTCCTGTTTACTCTTCAAATGAGACGACAAGGGCAGTTGAGATGAGCATGCTGCCATATTGCATCCACGCTCCTAATTACTGTGCTTGTGCGGGAAAAATGAAGACAAATGGCCCTCTGAAAGAAACCAGAGTACTAAAACTGCCTCTCACTACAGAATTAAACACGAACATCTCCAGACACTGAGAAGGGGGCCTTACTTTGTTGTGTAGTATTTTAAAACGTAAGCACCTTCCAAATTTTCACCACATTTTCCACACTCAAACAATGGTGTTGAAAGTTAGCATGCATACCCACTCACGCACACATCAATTTCTCTCATACATACAGGTAGATCCCTCCTAGAGGCCATGGAATGATTCACCTAAACTTTGTCCCGAACAGAATAAGTATTAGAACAACAACTATGACAAAGAGAATTAAAATGACCAGCATCTTGCGGTTTTTCTTCTGGTACTGTTCAGCCTAAGAAAGGAAAGAGAAAAGTTGAGTGTGCTTTCCATCTCTATTATGTAATATTATTTTTAAAGTATCATGTGGATATTGTATGTACATTTATATTACACAACAAATGACTGACAACCCTTGACATGTTGCTTAACACATCATCAGGCTTGATAAGAGCCTCACCTTCTGCAACTGCTGCAGTCCCTCCTCTGTTTTGACACAAGCTTGCTCCACATTGAAGTCAATTCTGTCGAGGACTGTGCCCTGCATTGAATTTACATTGACATTAACAATGCATATTTTAAAAACATAATTTGCATATTTATGCAACTGCCTCAAAGCATAATATTCATTTTGTGTAGGAACCAAATTTATTTATAATCCTTATTTTTATTATTAATTTTTATTCATTAATTCCTATATAATTCATATTAAATCAGTTTAATTATATAAATAAATTAATATATAAAATTACATGTAAAGAATCCAAAATAGTACAGGTTTTAGGACAGGACCTGCTCTGTTTAATATATATTTTTTTCCCTTAAGAAGCACACTGACCTGTTCAACAACCATTCCAGCAAGATCTCTAAATATCTCATTAAGGTCAGAGATGGACTGAACAATTTGTCGAATTTCTCTCTCTCGGTCTTCTACCAGCACTGTGTTTTGCTGAACCAGCACTAGTTGGTCATCTGTAAACCCCTGAAAGAGTGAGAAAGACAGATGTCAACCATGTACTGAAAATAAAATGCTATTACATAACAAAAGTTGAAATGAAATGTAGATTATTTCTTATATTTACTAAATTTGAAATAATTAATCAAAATTAATCAATATGAAAAAGATTCTAACTTGATTTAAAGAAATCTGTAAAATTACGCTTTAGCAACTTCTTGATTTTTGAAATAATTCATCATAAAATGAATCAATATGAAAAAAATTCTAACTTGATTAAAAAAAAATCTGTAAAATTACGCTTTAGCAACTTCTTGATTCTGTAATCCCATTACAGTATTTTTCACAAATATTAAAAACATTTTATATTAGTTAAAAACATTAATAAAAAGTAAGTAAACACTAACCAACAGTGGACCCAGTAAGTATGTTAGCACTAGGGATATGCCGGTATCAAATTTTCATGTTGCGATTAATTGCTCATGCTTTTATCACGGTATACGGTACACTGGAAATTATATTTTCTTAAAGACCAGGTAAAGCTAATTTTGAATATGACAGCAGCAAACTGGATATAACACAGTATAGTTTATTCGTGGTCAAAATAAAAGCTGCTATTGGCCAAGCCAAAATTCATCAGTCAATGCCACTAATTTAAAAATGCCAAATATCGGCCGACCACTGTACACCAACATCTAAATGTTTGCTGAAAGAAAAGAAAAAAAAAAAAAAAAAAAGATTATTAATTTTATATTATGGCCCATATTTAAATAAATGTATACAGCGTTCTAGGCATATGACGGTATCAAATTTTCATGTTGCGATTAATTGCTAATGCTTTTATCACGGTATACGGTATTAAAATTTAGTTGCAAAAAAGTGTCGTCAAAGTATAACATGTTTAATAACTTTTTTCTTATAACAAAAAGAACTGAACATTTACATACAATAAAGTAATATACAAAAAAGTATAAAGTAAAAAATTTCACACAGATTAAAGTGCAAAAGAATTATAAAGACCAATAAGTAACACTTTACAATAAGATCTAGTTAACCTTAATTAACGCATTAACATTAATAATGAGCAATAGCTACATTTGGTACAGAAGTCATTAATCTTTGTTTAAAAATACAACTGTTAGTTCATTAAACAACAGTTGCAACTTTTTATTTTAACAACGTGTTATTAAATATTGAAATTACCTAAGATTAATGAAAGTTTATAAGAATTTTTAATTGACAGTTTGTTTACTAATTAATTAACTAATGTTAATTAATAGAGCCTTAATGTAAAGTGTGACCAAACAATAAAGAATCAATATCTAGGGGATGTTGTAATCCAGATTAAAATGTAAAAGAAAAGTTAAATAAATAGAAAATAAATAAAAAAGAAAATAAATAGCCTATTAAGTCTAAATATTTAAGTATTTGGCGCTGTGATGAACACCACTGCGAATACAAAAATCTGAATGGCTATTTAAACTATTTAAATATGTTTTAGAAATAAGTGCAGCTGCTTTATGGGGTTTCAGGGGTAACACTGCATTTCTGCAGTTTAGCGCCATCTGCTGTCAGAGGGTGAATGTGCGCTTTCATTCAGAGCGTCTCCGCCATGCGCTTCTCGTTCGTGCTTGTTTACATCAGAGTGTGCATGCGTCTTTCACGCAGCATACAGCGGTGGTGTGCATTGTGACCAGTTGATGGGAAAAGTATTCTTAAAATGCATTAAAAATTCG